GATACAAACAGGTATGATAATGTCATTCCCATGAGGTTTATATCATATTGAAAGTCTCAATCTCTCTTTCTCTGCCTCTCACATGCACACACACAGGCAGGTAGTAGTTATGCAGGCATTCACTCATTCACACACCCATTCAACAGGCATTCACTGAATCCTAGAATTTGTGCTCCCACCCACCCAATGCTAGGTGCTGGTGATGCAGAAGCGAGTAAGACAACATGGCGGTCCCTTCCCTCATGGAGCTTGCAGAAAACAGGCAGGACTTCGGTAGGTATAGACTCATAGAAGGCTAAAATGAGACGGGCCATCAGACACCACCTAAACCAGTGCTTTTCAAACTTTTCTTAAAAATGGCAAACCACCTTTTTTTTTTAAATTAAAATTTGCAAAGATCTCCAATGTACCTAAGTGTTTAAAAAAAAAAGTTGTTTACGCAGAGGAATGGTTACAGCAGCAGGAGAGATGAAGATGGGCAGCCTTTCCAGAGCCACCCTTGCTTCACCTCGCATTACCTTCCCCACTGCACAGGACCCCAGAGGGGCCTCTCCCAACCACAGGTCACTACACACAGTTTGAAAATCAATGTTGTAGTTATTCAAATCTTCAGTTTGACAATTGAGGAGATTAAGGCTCGAGAATTTTAAGTAGCTTGACCGAAATCCCAAATTGTTAGAAGATTCTGGACTAGAAGGCAAGTCATTTGAATTTCAGGTCAGTGCTCATTCCACTATATCAGCACAATTACAATTCAAATTATGTAAATTTAAAATTCATAATAGTTGCCGTTCTTTTATGGTATCCAAGGTTCAGCAAACTGGAGTGAAAAGAAATAAGTAAACACAGGGCTTTGGAAAAACCATGGTATTCTGTGGCTGTAGGTACAGCAAGTTTTAGGTTCAATTCTCAAGTGTCTATCCCAATTCTTGACCATAACATTATCTTTGGTATCCAAATTGTAATTTGCTATTTACTTGTTTTGTTTTTCTCTTGAGGAAAACTGAATGAATAAATTTTAATACAATATACTTGAATTTGTTATTTCCAATTAAAAAATGAAATTAATTTTATATTGGGACAAATTAGGATTTCTGCATTGGTAAGAAACTCTGAAGACTGTACCTAAAAAATAAAGAATATACTTTATATTGACATGTATTCCATCCCATTTCATTTGAAATTGGTAACATTATGTGAGAAAATTGCATTTTATAAGTTAGGGAACTTAAATGACATTGCAAATAGAACAAGAAAAAAGTTCAAAAGCATCATAAATTGTACATGCTAGTAATTCAATATCTATTTCTGTATCAATATATGTTTCCATCTACATTTATATCTATGTAGATCCCTCAAGGGGTTAAAATACTGTATCTCATTGGAAACAGACAGTGGTGATGGCTGCACAACATGATGAATGTAATTAATGTCACTGAATTGCACAGGTAAAAGATGTTGAAATGGCAAATGTTTTGTTCCATATATTTTTACTACAATTAAAAACAAGATGAATCAACATTTCTACCGGTGAAATAAAATCTATCAGAATGTTTTTAAACCAATAAACATATTTTTAAAATAAATTTTTAAAAATACCATATCTCTTATTAAATACCAAGACAGACAGCAACAAGATCTAGAAGCATTAGGGCTCCTATCCCAGAAAAGCTGCACAAGTACTATTGAGCTGCATGGCAAGGAAACATCAACAAAAGACGAGAAAACTCAACAGGGTCAAAAGCTGGTATGACTCAGGCTCTTGGAGGTCAGGCTTGGCAGCAAACAAAAAATAACCTCTTCCTTTGGCAAGAATAGGTGCATATATATTTTAAATCACTGGCTGGACAGAGTGAAAAAACTGCCCAGATTTATATGAAAAATTAAGACAGGGAAGGGACTCAAAAAGATGGAAATCATTTTCCTAACTTCTGCTGTGCATGTTGCTTTATGGCAAAAAATATTCATCTTCCAAAACACATCATATATTAGGAAAAAATATATAATTTTTTTTTTAAATCTCCTCAGAAGATGATCTTTTTTATTTAAAACTCCTTTTCACCACCACAATATTCCTTGTTGTTGCTGTTGTTAGGTGCCGTCCAGTCAGTTCCGACTCATAGCCACCCTACATACAACAGAACAAAAACACTGCCCGATCCTGTGCCATCCTCACAATCACTGCTATGTTTGAGACCATCGTTGTAGCCACTGTGTCAATCAATCTCATTGAGGGTCTTTCTCTGTTTTGCTGACCCTCTACTTTACTAAGCATGTCCTTCTCCAGGGACTGGTCCCTCCTGATAACATGTCCAAAGTACTTGAGACAAAACCCAACCGTCCTTGCTTCTAAGGAGCATTCTAGCTGTACTTCTTCCAAGACAGATTTATTCGTTCTTCTGGCAGTCCACAGTATTTTCACGTTTCTCACCAACACCATAATTCAAAGGCATCGATTCTTCTTCGGTCTTCCGTATTCATTGTTCAGCTTTTGCATGCATATGAGGTAACTGAAAATACCATGGCTTAGGTCAGGCGCACCCTAGTCCTCAAAGTGACATCTTTGCTTCTCAATACTTTAAAGAGGTCTTTTGCAGCAGATTTGCCCAATGCAATGCGTTGTTTGATCTCCTGACTGCTGCTTCCATGGGCATTGACTTGGATCTAAGTAAAATGAAATCCTTGACAACTAATATTTTCTCCGTTTATCATGATGTTGCTTGTTGGTCCAGTTGTAATGATTTCTGCTTTCTTTATGTTGAGGTGCAATCCATACTGAAGGCTGCAGTCTTCGATATTCATCAGTAAGTGATTCAAGTTCTCTCTACTTTCAGCAAGCAAGGCTGATTTATCCGTATAAAACAGGTTGTTAATGAGCCTTCCTCCAATCCTGATGTCGCATTCTTCTTCATATAGTCCAGCTTTTCAGATTATTTGATTAGCATACCGATCGAACAAGCATCATGAAAGGATACAACCCTGATGTACATCTTTCCTGACTTTAAGCCATGCAGTATCCCTTTGTTCTGTTCGAACACCTGCCCCTTGGTCTATGTAAAAGTTCCTCATAAGCACAATTAAATGTTCTGGAATTTCCATTCTTTGCAATGTCATCCATAATTTGTTACGATCCACACAGTCAAATGCCTTCATATAGTCAATAAAACATAGGTAAACATCTTTCTGGTATTCTTTGATTTCAGGCAGGATTCATCTGACATCAGCAATGATATCCCTCCTTCCACGTCCTCTTCTGAATTTGGCTTGAATTTCCGGCAGTTCCCTGTCAATGTACTGTTGCAACCGCTTATGAATAATCTTCACCAAATTTTGCTTGTGTGTGATAGTAATGATATTGTTCGATAATTTCTGCATTCTGCTGTGTCGCTTTTCTTTGGAATGGGCACAAATGTGGATCTCTTCCAGTCAGTTGGCCAGGAAGCTGTCTTTCAAATTTCTTGACACAAACAAGCGAGCACCTCCAGCACAGCATCTGTTTGTTGAAATATCTCAGTTAGTATTCCGTCAATTCCTGGAGCCTTATTTTTCACCATTCCCTTCAGCATAGCTTGGACTTCTTCCTTCAGTACCATCGGTTCCTGATCATATGCTACCTCCTAAAATGGATGAACATCAACCAATTCTTTCGGGTACAGTGACTCTACATATTTCTTCCATCTTCTTTTGATGCTTACTGCATCGTTCAATATTTTCCTGTAGAATTCTTCAGTATTGCAACTTGAGGCTTGAATTTTTTCTTCAGTTCAAGATAGGTACGATAGAAGTGGTCCGTCCAAATGTTAAACTGCAAGAAAATTATAACCAACCAAATCTATATAAATTATCTCTGGTCTCTGCTTTAACTTTAGGTTGTTTCTTCTGACCTTTCTTGCAAAGGTTTAGAGTGACAAAAGTATTGCTTTCCTATTTGTGTCATTTTTCAGGGGTTAAGTCACATTTGGGGTTAAAAAACAAAAGGGCAAATTAGTAACTATGAACAATAGAAGCTGATCAACAAGTTTTACTGTTTATTAGAACTCCAAAGCCCTTTCTCTTCTAAGTTCAAACTCTAGTAGGCTTTTTTATTTTTAAATCAATGGCTATTTTATTTTTAAATCAATGGATATTTTAAATCAGTCAAAATGTTTAACTATAAAGATAACTCCCCCGAAGCATACATTTGTTCATACCTATAAATGTTAATGTTTTTCTCCTTATACAATGGAAAACACATTTTTCACTCATATTAACCTTTGACTTTCAATAGTTTTGGCTTAAAATATTTTGCAGTTTGGAAATACACACACATACAAAAAATATCTTGCTAGTTCAGTACAAGGAAAGCAAGCATAATTCCTCAAAAAGAAAACCAAACAAAAAATGATATGTTTTCAAAGTCATAGATTGTTAAATAAATTCATTGGAGACATGACATTATAGTCATACTACACAGCAGTGATTTTCAAACATTTTGCTCATAGGACACTTTTATATACCCCAAAAATATTAAGGACTCCAAAAAACATTTTTTGTAATGTTAGTTATACCTATCGATATTTACTGAATTAAAACTGAGAAAGTTTAAAAAATAAATATTACTTTATAAAAGCAATAAAATATTTTTATGTTAACAAATTGTATTTTTATGAAAAGCCACCATATTTTCCAAAAACAATCAGTGAGAAAAATGGTACTGTTTTAAATGTTTGCAGGTCTCTTTAATATCTGGATGAAAAGGCATACTCTCCTATCTGCTTCTGCACTTAATCTATTGTAACAGCATATGAAATGTAGCTTCTAGAAAACCCCACTCTATACTTGTGAGAGAATCAGAGTAAAAAAGGGAATAACATCTGAGTATTATGATGAAAATAGTTTTGACCTCACAAAACCCCCTGAAGGTGCTGGGAACTTCCCAGGACTCCCCAGAGCATAATTTCAGAGGTGCTGTTTTGTAGAGGTGTTTATAATTGTTATTCTTTTTGTCATTATAGACTTACAGGTCTCCATGCCTTCATCGTCATCATCTACAGCAGGTTTATCATAAGACTTGTCGATTGCAGCTCTGAAGCTCTCATTGCACCCCCTTCCTCGGATGATCCGGGGTCGTGGGCGGTGGAAAGGAATATCCCCATTCAAAGTCACCTCAGCGACTGCTGTCTGCAGACTCTCCAACGAGCTCGACTTCTTCAGACCCAGCGAAGGTCCTACATCTTTGCTCGGAGAACCTTGGAAGTTTACAAATACATAAAGTTCATTAGAGTGAGTGGCAAAAATTACATACCTGAATATCTATGACTTATGGAAAACTTCAGGGACATAATGAGCATAAACACATTACTTGCTCAATGACAAGTTCTAGAATGTGGATGGAAAAGGTGATCTTAATAAATAAAGCAATGGCAACTAATTCTTATTTTTCCCAAATTTATATTAGATTTGGTTCGTTTCTCTATTTTTAATTAGGAAAAAACTTTATATTAAATATTACTCTAAAACTGTTTTTAAAAATATAGTAAATTATTTACCTTTAAACAAAATAAAACCTTTACATTTATATTTAAAAATGCCCTTTATATGGAATTTAGTAAGCAAAGTAAGTCATTAGTCTCCATTTTTTAGCTCAACAGATGAATGTTTTTTCTAATCACTCAGCTCCAAGTAATGTAAATAAAAGAACCAGAATAACCTAGGAGCTCATTTGAAAAGCAGAGATGAAGAGAAAGCTGAGGTAAGCAACGAAGAGTGAGCTTTTTAATTTAATTGAAATCATTTTTTGGCAGTTCAAAATTATTTACAACAGATGTGAAATATTCACATCAATGAGCTTCATCAAGTCTCTTCCTCATTAGAGTAAAGATTCACAACCCTCAATAAGTAACAAGACCACAAGGAACAACATGTCACTAATAAAATTAGGGCAACACGGTGCTGGGTAGAAACCTAGTTCTGAGAAAATATTCATGTTTTGTGGAAAGAGCAATAGAGGACGTAAATAGAAACAAATCAAAGAAGAGAGACGTGAGGGAAGCAGACTAAGGAGCTGGGTATGAGTACTTATATCTCCAGGCTTGGCAATAATAGATGCTCAAAAAACAGATGATGGACAGAAGGAAGGCCACTTAGCAATTACTAAGAAACTTTTAGTAGTATGGCAGGTGAGGATTCAAGCAATTAAAATGTTGGCTCTATTTCTTGAGGATCTAGGGCAGAAAAGCCTGAGATAATACGAGTAGCATCAAGTTTTAGAAGACAATCAAAACTTTAACCAGGAGAGACAGCTTCATCCATCACCCCTGGCCTAGCACTCAAAGGTAGGCTAATTTAGCCTCTAGTGACTGAAATATCAGCTTTGCACCACCACCTGGGCAATTCAGGTTACAGAACTGGTTCTTCACTTAGACTGCTAAACCAAAACCAAACCCGTTGCCGTGATTCTGACTCATAGCGACCCCACAGGACAGACTAGAACTGCTAAAAGATAGGTGAAAAAAGTGAGAAGGTAGGGGAAACTGAATAGTTTATCTCTACAAGAGGTCATCAGTCCACATGTCGATCATAATTAAGGAGTAGCCATCCCTTCGGGAGCAAGGGAGAATGAAGAGAACAGGATACAAGGAAAAGATTAGTCCAAAGGACTAATGGACCCCAGCTACCAAGGCCTTACATGTGTACTGTTAAATGAGAAACTATTTTGTTCTGTAAGCCTTCATCTAAAGTAAGAATAGCAGCACAATTGGAAGAGCATAGTCAATGTCACTGAACTGTGCATGTAGAAATTTTTGAAATGGTGTATCTTGGGCTGTCTGTATTTTCACCAAAAAATAAATAAAAAATAAAAAGGTCGAGAAGGAAGAGGGTTGACATGTTGTGGAGTTGTTAACCAATGTCATAAAACAATATGTGTACTACTGTTTCATGAGAAACTATTTGTTCTGTAAGCCTTCACCTGAAGTACAATAAAATAATAATAATAAAAAAAAATAATAATAATAATTAAGGAGTAGCCTTGACATGTTACTACCTAGAAGACAAATAGTTCACGGCTCAGGGTACAAGGCAGGATAAAAATTAAATTGAGAGAGTCAACACAAGAATTATCTTTTCCTGATTCATTCACTGTACATCATTCATCTAATTTTAACAATGTGGTAGCAAATTTAAGTTAGAAAAAATATGTTAAAAATGTAATACAGGCAAAAACATGATTCAAATGAAGAAACAACAGCCCATAAATTATTGTGTTTGGGAGAAAGAAACGATTTCTTTAGCTTTCTCAATGCAGGTTGGTACATATATGATTATTTTATGACAAAATTTCACACGGAATATTTCTTCCAAGGAAGATCAATCTTACTTTTTCTCTGTCACACTTAGAATTTTTGACAAGTTAGTTTTCTAAGTACTCATAAAAGTCGTGTCACAAGAAGGAAAATAAATTTCATTCTAAAGAACTAAATAAAAAGAAGCCAAGGAATCAAAATGATGGGAAAAGATCATTCCTGGACAGGAATATTTACACTGTTATTTCCTAGAATAAGCACTGGAAAGATCACTTTCTGAATAAATTATGGCTATCAATTTTTATGACTTCACAGGTGCAATTAAGTCCTATAAATATTTATTAGGCAAATATTGTATGCTTGCTTGGGCTAATAAAGGATACATATTTATATATATATATTTACACATACAAATACATATATATGTATTTGTATTTGTGGGTGAATACAGATATATATATATAGCTATAGATATATTCCATTTCATACTTCCAATAAGGGTTATCATGAAAACATAATTTATGTGTATTCTGTTTTTCCTTAGGAAACGCTTGCTGAGATTTGACTTAGTGTACTCATAGCATTAAAAAATTTAATAATGAATTTCAGAAATGTCACGAGTATTTATTAAAACTGAGTGTCCCTCAGCATAGAAACGTTGGAAAGAAAAAACAATGGTGAAAGTATCACTAAATAAGCAACAGATATTTTGTAAGTGTAACTCAGAACTTATGTATCAAGTCTTTTCCGTAAATATTTGCAATACTGCAGTATAATATTTTAGCAAAAATATTGAGAATCATTGATGGTGACTGTTGAGTACAACAAACTACTTCTCTCTACATTTATGTATGGTTGAAAATATTCATAATAAAAATTACACAAAATTTTTTAAGCATCTGTAACTTGTGAATTTATAACCAAAAAAAACAAACCTGCTGCTATTGAGACGATTCCGACTCACAGCGACCCTGCAGGACAGAGCAGAACTGCTCCATAGGGTTTCCAAGGAGCAGCTGGTGGAGTTGAACTACTGACCTTTTGGGTAGCAGCCAAGCTCTTAACCACTGTGCCACAGGAGTCCGAATCTGTAACGGGGGTGAGTAAACTGTGGCCCTCAGGCCAAATCTGGAACATACTGTTGGAACACAGCTATGTCCATTTGTTTACATATTGTCTATGGCTGCCTTTATGCTACAATGGCAGAGTTAAATGGTTGCAACAGAGACCCTGTGGTCCACAAAGTCTAAAATATTTACTATCTCGTCCTTTATAGAAAGAGCTTGTGGGCCTTTGATTTACAACATGAATATCATACACTTAAGTACTATAATTTTCAAAGAAACTTCAACAAAGTTTTTGTTAAGTGGTACATTAATACCTCCTAAAGATGGCCTAGGAGCCCTGATGGCGCAGTGGTTAAGCACTGGGCTGCTAACTGAAGGGTCAGCAGTTTGAACCCACCAGCCACTCAGCAGGGAGAAAGACGTGGCAGTCTGCTTCCATAAAGATTACAGCACTGGAAACCCTGTGAGGCTGCTCTACTCTGTCCTATAGTGTCGCTATGAGTCAGAATTGACTCAATAGCAATGAGTTTTCGGTTTAATGAAGGCTACTGAAATCTCTAACGCTATAAACTTACCATTTACTAGTAATGAAAATTGAAAATGTCTTTCTCTATAAAGTACGGAGAAAGATTATTTAGTTTTATTTATATAAAAAATCATTTATTTTAATTTTAAAACAATAGTTTAAAGCTTTTAGTTTATATAAATATTTTAGGTCTTTAGTACACTTTGTTGAGTTTTTCAGTGATTAAACTGTTAGAAACTCAATTCTCTTCTCGTTCTTATTCTCTCTTGTTCTTTTCAGAAAGTAAATTTACCTACCAAACTATCATACGAGATCCTTAAATCCAGGAATAAAGGAGGAAATCATAATCATACTATTTTCCCTGGTCTATTTTTCTACACTTCCCTAGTAATACTCTGCTCCTTGAAAAAATATAGATAAATAAATAAAGTAGAGGAGGTCCTTTGCAAGGGGCAAAGGGAAATGGATTTCAATTTTCATTATGAAAGGCTTATGGCGAGACAGATGCTCTATGCTAAAATGCCACTATGACTCTACCAAAAACCTTTGGATTAAACTGCAAAATCATGATAAACTTGACAATTCAAATGAAATGAAGAAGGAAAAATGACTGAAAATCTGTTCACTAATATGGAGGTGGGGAGAGATCTGGTTTAGACATTTTATTCATATAGATTTAAAACCAACAGACCAAAATACAGTTTGGATTCCATGTAATAATCATTTTGTCCCAGGTTTTTGCAATTTAATTCACTTAGACAGACTGTATATTGTGCAAAAAATGCTTTTTATCTAAGACCTAACATCTTAAAACATTATAAAAACATATGGTTCAATTAGATGATAAAATTTACCATCTCACTATGAAAGCTATCTAATGTTTGTAGTTAAAATCTGGACATCATTATTATTTTTAAAATCACAATAAATTATTCTTCCCTTTCGGTAGTTGCAGGCTGCTTACATTAAACATGTTCCTTAGTTTACCCAGGCAGCACAGTATATAAAGTCATGTCCCTTAACCTGAGCAGTTCAATTTGGCTTTCATGAACATTAGCTTAGACAGGAGTTATTTCTTAAAATTACTGAATACCATTAACTCCAAAAACTAATTACTCTTGTACACATGTGAACTATCCAGTAATGTTTTTTCTGTAGCCCTGCCTCAGAATTTCAGTGAATTTTATGTTTGATAAGAAAAATAACTGCTTAGTGAGGGCTGAGACTACAGTTAATTGCCTTACACTATGGTTAATCTTATGATTTATTGGATGTAATTTCTATAATCTATCATTTACTCTACAGAATATGATAACTTGGACCATGTCTACAATAATCTTTACATATGTATGTGGGACACATATTTTTCAAGCAGGCTAAAACTAATTACTACTGCAGGTTTAAAAGGTGAATTGAAGCTAATTAGTACTAAGTGGTGGAACTACATCAAACTGGATCAAGAATAATTAAAACACTATTCCAAACTAGTAATAATAAATCATGAATGCTCTATTGTGCAAAGCACATTAATGACACATAAAAACTTTCCTCTGATTATTTTCATACAGTGACATAAAAAAGTAAAATCTACTGTAAAGCAAACTAGTTCAATATAATCCATTGTTTCTATGGAACAATTCAGGCAGCATTTTAGAAGCAAGCCCTAAATAGTAAAAAACCTTTAAAACAGGTTCACCAAGCTAAGATAAGGCACAATATATACTAGATAGTCAAATCCAATTTCAGGTAACTATGACCAAATTTTGGGGTCTAAATAAGAGTTAAGATTTTCCAAGTTAATGATAATAATGCTGGTCACTGTCCTTCAGTGACTTTTTTTTCTATTTTCACCATTATCTTTCAAACCAAAATTGCTATTTGGCAAATCACTTCTCGAATGTTAACCTAGAGATCACACAGATGATTTAAAAACTTAATATCCTACAATAAGAGAACATGATTTGAGGATTGTGATATTTTAAAAAATGTTATAAAACATTCCTACATAAATACAATTAAGTAAGCAAATCTAGGTGGTTTTAGCAATTCTGAAGCACTAAATTATATTTCCATTTAGTATGTACTGCAGTGATAAATTTCTTCTAACGAACATTTTTCTTTTTATACAATTTGATTTCCCACAATGAAAATGACTATGCAAGACTGGAATAGTTATGTTTACATGCAATATGACTGGCAGCTCTATAATTGTGATAAGCTCCTCGGCCCACGGTTTCTATGGCAACAGTCTAACTGTCCATTCTTACCTGCTTTCTGGTCATCCACTGTATTGAGTTTAGTCTCGTCAGCTACTGTTAAAAGGTAAATGTATAATGGTTAGCCCAGTTAGTTCCCACAGCCCAACATGCTTCAACCATTCCCAGGTTTTTGCAGTTAGGTGATAATTCTTAAATACTTCATGCAAATAACATGAAACATCAAGCTAATATTCATAATCAAAAGAGATTTAAAAAAGCAGTGTCTCCATGCAATATGCCAGTCATTTCATCTCACAGGCATGTGGGTTATTTATATGTTAGCATATCATAATTAGCCAAGGCAATTCATCACCAAATTTTTCTTTTATGCATGTGATAAATTAATGCTTTTAGTCTTAAAGTACAGCCACCAGAGAACAGCATAAATAAGTTACAGTTGATTAACAAAAGTTTTTGAAATCATTCAAAAATTTATAGATATGATTAATTACTTTTTTTCCTCCTTTGGAGGGTTTGGATTTAAAGAGAGACACTACCTGATTGGTGTTTGATTGAAAAACTATGGTTATTTTCCTTCTTGCATTTGTTTCCAAATACTTTCTACAGTAAGTATTCTCTCAAATCATTACTTCAATTAAATGTCTTAATTATCAACATGTAAGAGCTTCTAATAAATAAACCTTAAAGAATAGCAATGAAAGGCAGATATCATGAAGTAACCAAATTCTAGACATGGATTGAGATAATGGTTTCTCTCCAAAGCATCTTCCTCTAGTCCAAAAAATCTGATAACCAACCAAATACTATTTCAAGGTAATTGGTTTTAAACAGCCAAAGTGTTACAACTTATTTCACTTTTTATAAATATAAATGAATATAGCATGATATGCATATGTGTTTGTTTCCTTTTCTCATGAGAAAACATATATAAACATACTGCATATTATGTAAACATGCCACTTATGAGTAATACGGTTATCTCAAACTCAGAGAAAAACTAATTTTTGCCAAATTGCCACATTTCATATTTATTCCCTCTATTTCTCAAAGTAAACAGACATGTGTTTGAGACCATCAATTTTATCTTGAAAGCATCTAAACCTTATTTAGATAAAGATTCATGGAGATTGTACTCACTACCTAAATCCATGCTTTTTGATTTTCGCGTTTTAACGAAATCCAATTGACTGGCATCTGAAAATTGCTTTGTGCGTTTTTCTGACATACTCTGGCGTCCAAATCCTTCTCGTTGAAAAGCAAGAACTGGATCTACATCGGGGCTCAGAGAGCTGTTGTGAAGAGAAAGATAAACATAAAAAATATTTATTAAAAATAAAGACAAACCATTTAGGAAAGTTTCCATATACGTCAATGCGTATATAAACATATTCCTTACAAAAACTTAAACTAGACAACACAAATAGTCCATTAAAAATAAACAAATAAACAACTGTTGTTACATAGGAAGTGACAGAAAGACAAAGTTGATGTACAGTCATTCTTTCTCCCTGTGAGCTCTCTCCTCCACTATTTCTCTCTCCCAGTTTCTTCTATTTGACAATACATTCTTATTTTTAAGTGATTATCAAAACTGAGACTGGTATTTCTAGACATTGGAAATACTGGATATTTGAGGAAAGTTGTCATATATTATATAAATATATGCGGAGCAAACATGTAACTATATGAATCTCAACTTAATAGAAACTTCAGAAAGGATGTCTTTTAGCCCTATCATATATCGTATGTTTCAGGGAGAAAGACAAAAAAAGAAGGAGGATGAAATACTTGTACGGTATGTAGTTTCATGAAATTATAGATTATCTGCAATATTTAATCCAGAAGATGAAATCAATTCAGCAAACCTTTGTAAGAACCTATTCTGATTAAGGGTGTGCTGGGTACCAAGGTCACAATAATCAATAAGAAAAGATTCTTGTTCTCTGTAAGTTCATAAGAAAAACACCAAACCAAAAACATGAAGCAGACGCTGTAGATGCACAGATGAGAGAATAAACAGAATTTTAGGGAGTCAGGAAAAGCATGACTAAGGTTAGATAACATTTGATTTGGGTGACACCAACACAGTGGCTTAAGCAAAGATGATAAATAAGTATATGGTAGATAACTGGTAACAAGAGAAATCATGATTTGTTTCTCCAGTGACAATGGTTGGAGATGACAGTGAATCACTCTTATTTTGTTTAGTCCTATATGTAAACCACTGTAAACTGGTGTTCTGAGCACAATCCATATGGTGAAAATGTTTTTTCTATGTGCTAGGCACACTGAGTAAATAAATACACTACTTTCCTTTCTCAGGGCCAAGCTATCTTATCTATCTGCCAGTGGGGAGGAGGCTACACAGCAAAGGACTGAGAATGAGAAGTGCCACTTCCACTATGTCAACCGGGTTTACAACAGCCTGCAATTTACTGTGCATGGAATGATAGTAGGCTCTTAAAGAAGAGCTAATCCGAAAGCTGTGAATGCTAGAATGCCAAGGAAAATACTCTGCCACTGAGTTAAGACCTTAACTATTTTGAGCCCATATTTCCTAATACATTCAATAAAGACAACAGTTGTCTCACACATTCTTACAAGGCTAATAACAGAATTCAGTGGTGAAAACCCTTTGTAAATTGTTTAAACACTATATAAAATAAGTTATTATTACCCAACAAAGACTATTTATCCTAAATGATCAAACTAATACAAATTATGTAACAGAAATCTAACCAGTTGCTGTCAAGTTCACTCCAACTCATGACCACCCATATGTGTCAGAGTAGAAATGTGCTCCACAGCATTTTCAATGGCTGATTTTTTTAAAGTAGTTTGCCAGGCCTTTCTTCCCAAGCACCTCTGGTTGGACTCAAACTGCCAAGTTTTCAGTTAGTAGTCAAGTATATTAACCATTTGTACAATCAGGGCCTCCAATGGAAATCTAGGGTCCTTAAAAGTCACACAAAGAAAATGTACAGTGTTTCTCAATCTTTTCCAGAAAGCACAAAGTAAGGTCATAAGAATGAGACATGATAAGTGCTCAATATTTAAGGAGGCGCTCACTCTCAAGGTTGTCCAAGTACAGGGCCAGCACCTGAGAATGAGTGTCTCCTTAAATTTTGTACCCTAGACACCTTACTTGCCTCACCCTAATCTTGACTCAGGTACAGAGTAAAGAGAAGATGTATCCTACAGCACTCAGAGTTCAGACCAAGGCAAGAACAATTTTTTAATAAAACACTATGTTATGTCTTAAGAAATGGTATTTTGTTTGCATTCTACTCCAAATCTTTTTGTTTTCAATATAATGGTATTGTTCGTCTCCAAAACTCTGAATAAATTGATGTTCCAAGAAGAAGCAGGGTCATGTTTATCTTGAAGTCTCAGGTGCCCCCTTTACACACTACAAAGCTTTAGTGTATATGGCTTGTAATTTCCAGAGCACATACATACCAGTTCAAGAAACCCAATTCTACAAGTGAAAACTTAAAACTCACGTGATGAGATCTATGACCCAATTTTGCAGCAGCAAAGTCTAAATAATATACTTCCAATAACAGCAATTCTTTTATTTATAGAAAGTATATAAAATCTAGGCCCACTCACTGATATCTCCAACAATTCTGCACATGCTAATAAACTCTTGTTTTGTATCATGCAGAATACATGGATTGGAAAAAGGTATACTGGATTAGTTGAAAATTAAAAGTTCAGCCATTTGCCATATTTCACCTTCCACAATTGTGTAGTGAACTGTAAACATACAGCATATAAAATGTCAAATGAGTTTGTGAGTTAGTAAGAGTCTTAAAATAACTAAATATTCTTAAACCATGACATAATTAATTCTTGCCTATCAATACACCCATTAAACTAATTTCCGATACGGTAACACAGTATATGAGAATATTTAACAAGTCAGGCTGCAGGACTGGCAGCTAATTCTTTAAAGAAAGTAACCATATCCTGACCCCCAATGTTATTAAAATTCCAGTTATTAATCCTATCTTATTGCCCTTTTGTTTTCCTAACATTTTCATCAAGGATTAGGGAGATATTGTTGGGCTGGCAAAGCTTACATTTTCTGCTGTGATTCAAAACAGCTGCCATTCTTGTTTGGATAACCCTTCATTCATATTCTTTGCCTCACTCCACAGTCCCCACAGCAAAATCACACAAGTCCACTCCGTTCTACAAATCCCCTTAGGGAAATTAATGCAACAACCTAACCCTGCTAGTTATTTATTTATATCCACCCATACAGTGCTTTGTAAGGCCCCAGACTGATCTGTTCCTATAACAACCTTCACAATTTCTCATCATGGTAGAGATTCAAAGGCTTTTTGTCCCTTCGATGAATACTGCAAATATCTAATCCTTACTTTCTCTGTTGTTGCTTTCACTTTCAGAAAGAGATATAAATGGCAGTGGTAAATGCAATAGCATCTGCAGATTTCAAACGGGTTTTTATTTCATATTGTCATTCTCTCCACCACGTGTAACCAAAAAACTCATTCAAAGATAAGCTATTATCATGCAGGTCTGAATGCAGCTCTATTTTTAAAGCCTATGTTTTTAACAAGAGAATTAAAAAAGGAAAAGAAAAGCTAGAGATGGACTTTTCAAGAGCCCAGCTAACAGGTGAGATTATTCCAAGAGAACATCTGCAGAATTAATGGAAAAACAGAACTGCTTTTGTGTATAGTGTTGGGGGGCCTGGTAGTGGGGCTGGAGCAGATTACTTTGTTAAGATCATCACTACAATGTTAACATAAATAAATGACAGTCCCCTGGACACTTCCTATCTCACATAAAATGTTGACACAAGACTAGGGCAGAGGAGAAAGTAGAAATGGCTAAGTAGTAAAGGAACAACGCCATAACATTTAAATAGAATTTTGCTGATGTATTCATAAAAGACCCCAGAGAAAGGGCAACAAGAAAATTCTGGCATAATGCTTCACATGGTTTCTGTTAATTATCAGCACAGCCTTACAAGGGCATCCCTGAGAGGGACCTTTCCTTTTGCTTATTGATGTATATAATTACTAGGCATGCAAATTAAGGCAAAAGTCCACATTTATGTGCCACACATTGGCTCAATAATATCAAATGCTTTCCTGTATTTCGAAAGATACAGGGAAAAAAACAGCATGAGACTGTCCCCAAAGTCACTCTGTTAGAAGCAAGTGAAAGACATTTTAAACAGTATAGTTAGAGCACTCGAAAAAGAAAACCTAGAGCCTCATCTCACTCCTAGCATATGGCAAAGTATTAGTTTTGCCACACTCATCTTGTTTTTACAATCTCTCAGGCAATGTAGGAATTTGCTTAAATTTGTTAATTTAACAGAAATACAAGTCATCAAATTAACACAGTTCTAAAATATTAATAACCTATAGCAAATTAATAACCTAAAGGAGCCCTGGTGGCGCAGTGGTTAAAAGCTAGGCTGCTAACCAAAAGGTCAGCAGTTTGAATCCACCAGCCGCTCCTTGGAACCCTATGGGCAGTTCCCATAGAGGAACCCCTACAGGGTTGCTATGAGTCAGAATCGACTTGATGGCAATGGGTTGGGTTTTTGGTATGGTTTATAGCAAAACTTACAAACAAATGAGTAGGGTTTTTTGTTTAGTGATATTTTTGTTGTTGTTCTGACTAAATTACTAACTATAGCACTAGAAAGACTGTAACAATTGTGCAAGTTTAAGGAGGGTGGGAATCTTTTATTAAAAGTGTCCTAATTAAGAGTATAAAAACCACGAAAACAGAGCACTGCTTAAAAAAAAAAACCACATACAAACTGGCAAACTGTGCTCTGCGCTAAACCATTTAAACGTAAAATTAAATGTGATTGCAACTAACTCGTGTTTTCAAACCTTGGACTGTGATCTTACCATTCTGCAGAGTCGCTAACTGCAGCCGTGGCCCATGCACCAGGGTCTGCCGTCACGAATCCCACATCATCACGGGAGCTAGAAGACGAGTGGTCAGAGAGATGTGGAGGAAGGACTGGCAACCTGTCATCTTCTATAATGACAGTGTCATCTTGGGGCATATTTACTGTGGGGGACAGCTGGTATTTACCTGTCCAGTGAAAAGAGAGAAATTATAGGCATTGAAATAAGTGTTACATGCATCAAGACTTTGCTACATTAGAGTCTAAACTCCCACACATCAGCTCAACCTGAAGAACAAAATAGAATTTAGCACACTTTTCATAAATGATTGTCAAATGGACACCTGGGCTCTACAGCTCTGACACTACAGCTATGTAGCTTTGAGAAGGCTGTGTAATTTCTCTGGTTTTAAGTTCCCTATCTTAGTTTCTTAAGACCAGAGATAATCTCCAAACTGCCTTCTAATGTGATTCTAAATTGTGAAAGTCCTTGGAAAAATTTTACCAGGAAATAGCGTAGGAAGAACTACAAACTTAATCAATCATTCATGCATTTATTCATTCAGCACCTACCACCTACCAGGTATTCTAAGTAAGACACATCTCTGCCCTTACAGAGCTCACAGCCTACTGAAGGAGAAAGACGTAATCAGAGCATGGCAATGGGAGCAAAAGTACAGTGGCATTCACCAGTGTTGGCAGCTGGAGATAGAAGGGCACTGGGAATCTTAACAAAAGTTAATGTCCAACTGCTCTGACCGGGATCACAACAGAGGGTCCTGGACAGAGCTGGAGAAGGATGTAGAACAAAATTCTAACTCACAAAAAAATACCAGATTTACTGGCCTGACAGACTGGAGAAACCCCGAGAGTATGGCCCCCGGATACTCTTTTAGCTCAGTGGTGAAGTCACTTCCGAGGTTCACTGTTCAGCTGGGGATTGGACAGCCTCATAAAACAAATCAAGACTAATGAGGCACAGCAGTCCAGGGACAAGGACTAGAAGCCAGGAGGGGACAAGAAAGCTGGTGATACGGAACCCAAGGTTGAGAAGGGACAGTGTTGACATGTCGTGGGGTTGTTAACCATTGTCATAGGGCAATATGTGTACTATTTAATGAGAAACTATTTGTTCTGTAAACCTTCACCTAAAGTGCAGTAAAAATTTTTTTAAAAAAATTAACATCCAAGTTGGGTTTCTAATAATGAAGGTGTTTTTTTCTGCTAGAAGAAATATGACATTTATTTTAGAACTGGCAACAACATCATCAAATACGTGATGGTGAAAAGGCCAAGGTGCAGTCAGGTAACAATTCAAAGATGGATATGCCCACCTAACAGCCCACAGGTGAGAATGGCGGGAGTGATCTTGTAGGGGAAAGACTTGGATCTAACTGCAAAGAGGTTTTCAGGTCATTACAGAGCAGCTCGTACATTTTTATTTATTCAGTTAAGATACATTGTTCTGGGTAAGGAAAAACTCACAACTGTCTATATGGATCAGTTCCTTGCAGGAAAATCTGCTCAGGCTCATGGCTCAGCATTTCACAGCCTTTCTTGGGACAAATTTGTTTCGAGGCCCTGAAACCTTAAAGATAAATCTGGGGTTCAAACGATGCCACCATCTTCCTAAAAACAATCTACTGTTCTTCTGGCTTCCTCCTCAAGCCTTCTGCAACGCTTCTCTGAGCAAGAACACGTTGACAAGGTTTTGGTCTGTGTGGATAACAGGCGAGGGGCCATATGCACAGAAATCATTCATTACTGGATGATGCAGGCCCCAGGCCAGCACTCCCAACAAAGCAAGGGGAGGTACGTAATTTCCCTATCCACATCACAGGATGATGGAAAAACTATCATTTTATGTCCACTTTCCTAATCTGTTAGGTCAACTATGCAGAGTTCCTACACAAATAAAAGACTAATCCTGCATTAGCCTTATGGCTGCAATTTGCCAAGATACTACTACCATTATACTCAGGGCACACATTAGCTTTATTATAATTTTTTTTTAATAGTACAACAGCCATGTATAAGAAGTTTATTAACATTTGAACATTAGTCTTAGATTTATTTTTTAAAATAACATTCATAAGAATACATAAATGATAATTTTTGTTTTAACACTATACTAGCAATTTGGGGATGCATCAATAGGCTTGAAGGATTTTTCAAAGTATATATTTTTCTAGACATGTGAGCAAAATAAGCAAAAAAATTACTCAAGTTATTGCATATCTTTTCAGAACCACCCACAAAAGTGAATTTGCTAGAAATTTCAAATGCATTCATTATTTAGTGACAAGTACTTTGTAACTGGAGAAATATTTTATGTTTACTAAAACCTATAATCAGTATTTTATCAGGAAAATTTTACTTTGATTTCAAATGCACCCATTTTGACAAACTGTGAAAAGTGGCAACTTTTGACAAGCATCCATCCTTTAAATATAAATCAAGTTTAATGTTTAATCATTTCCCTTTCCTAAATTCAAATCACCCATTTATTCCTATTCTAGTTTTAGGATGTTAGGATATTAGTCCAGAAACCTGTTCAACAAAATACCACATGCATAAGTAAGATGGGCCATTCTAGCAGCATTAACCAAAAAAAAAAAAAAGTTTCCTTATCAAAACATACTTTTTTATTCTCAAAAAGAATACATTATTTCAAAACCAGAATTATCCCTGATAACAGTTCACCACCAATAAAGCACGCATCACAGTACTAAATACCACATCCTCATCTGGGTATAATTTATTGGAAGGAAATATTAACATGTACCTATTAATACACCCATTTTCAAACACAAAAACTAAGTGTTAACTCGTGTTTACACAATATATTCTGAGACTCAACCTATTAGGCAATATAGAACACTAAGTGGTTCTTTATATAATAATCCTTTTTTTATAATATGGTTGTATCTAAGTGAACCAAAATTTTGAACAGAAATAAATCACAAAATATCAAATAGTAAAACAATTTAGCATTTTTCTCTCATTCGTGATTCTGGAGGTGAATATTTCACAAGATTCAGGAATTATTTTCTATCAATTTTCCATTTCTTTACATGCTTGACAGGAACATAATTTTGAGATCTGGCTCCAGGAAGTATTTGCGTAATGGATAACTAAACTACTTAACTGCATATTCTCCCAACCTCCACCTGGGCAACACCATAATTTCTTAGTTATTTTGCTAGTACTTGGAACATTATAAATGTAAAACCTTCTAAGAAAGCCTTGAGAAGCCTTCCATCTGTTTTTTTGATCGATAAACTTTCCTCTTTCCACACCTATTTAACCAACAACCTACAAACAGACATATACCAGCCAACACCTTATAGAGAAGAAGTGAAACAATGAGATACGGAATGATTGTTTACTAAACATTTATTTATTGGTAAGTTTACATAGGATGCAACACCACACGTGACACCAGAAACAAATGAAATGACTAAAATTTTGCCAGTGATCTGACTCATACATACATGCAAAAAAAAAAAAAAGAATCGTGTTCCGTTTTTCTCTACTGGATTTCTAACAAAATGGAAATATTCTGAGCACAATTATTGTTTAAACTCACCACAAACATATAAAGACAGCAATTACTAAGATTAAATTTTAAAATTGATACAATAAATTTCGCTTTTGTTTTAAACAGAAAAATTCTTCGGTAAAAAAAGTTGAAAAAAATGTAAGGTCCCATGCTCCCAAATGTCAACGTGTGATGTATTTTATAAAGTGAACATGGTGGCTGCATTAGCTATACCTATTATGGTCATTGCTGTCATTATCGTCTTCATCATCATCATCATTTGTTAAGATAGCCCAACAATCTGGAAAATATATTTAAGGCTTTTAAAAGGAAGAAATCTTAGAGAGGCTCACTATGGATTACTTTTTGGTGAACATCCAGGTCTACTCTTGAAAAACCCATGATAGCAGAAAGTCAGCCAAGACAGAGAAGAGCTGGAGAAATCTTGCCTTTGGTCACAGCTCTGACTGACACCACTAAAAGCTAAGGAGCCTAATCACGTTCAAGTAATACAGGACTAACGAGTCAAAAAATATACATCTTAATTTCAGTTCAGAAGCACAGAATCTGTTCAGCTTCAGTCAACTCCCTGAATTTCTTTGGTCCATAACTCCCCTGAATAAAAGATAAGTTGGTTGGAATACAGGATTTCTAAGGTTGTCTTCAAGGATTAATTTCTTTGCTTTTTAGATTATAGTGGTTTCCAGGATGGAATATCTTTTAGAGACTGTCTAATGCATTTTGCTTTAAAATGTGGATACTTAGGAATTGATGATAATAAAGAAAGAACGTCATTAACTATTATTGATTGATGCAAAACTCATTGCCATTGAGTCGATTCTGACTCAAAGCGACCCTAAAGGACAGAGCAGAACTGCTACATAGGGTTTCCAAGGAGCAGCTGGTGGATTTGAACTGCTGACATTTTGGTTAGCAGCCAAATGCTTAACCACTGCGCCACCAAGGCCCCTTAAGCATTTCCTAGAGAAGGTTATTTTTACAAATAGGAAATAGCCTAAAACAAAATAAAAAAAACCACCACAGGATTTTGGGTCTCAGTCCCTTTATCTGTTAAGCGGGTCAGTTTAGCTGATGAAATTTGACATCCTTTTAATTATAATGTCTCTTCCTTTATAATCTGTTTTTTAGACTCCTATCTCTTCTGGGATGTGTGCCATTAAAAGTGGGTCAGAAAGCCTCAACTCTCCTTCTTTTGGCCTAGAGTCCTACATGGAGAATATTTTACATGAAATTTCACCCTGTTCACATAAAATTAATCAGTTCTTAATTCAATCAACTGGAATGTACAAGTTCTCTTTGAATCATAGCAGATCATGAAGTAGATACTACCACCTCTACCAATGTCTACACAGGAGTTATCCTTAATGTATATAAGACTACCATTAACTAACCAAGATCTGTCTGAGACATACCAGATCATGAAGTAGCTACTTTTATCTCCACCAATGTCTACATAGGAGTTATTCAAAATGTATAGAAGATAACCATTAACCAGACAAGGTCTGTCTGAGAAATTTCCACACACCCAAATACTGTGCAGATAACAAATACTATTGTTATTAGTTTAGGCCAATGGCAATTCAGTGCTTGAATATATTTGGTACTCTGTTTTGGTATTTCCTGTTGCAAGGTAACATCTTTTATATAATTTCTAACTTTTAAGTGGGAACTAGCTCAGCACTTGTTTCTTAAGGCCTATGATACTGGGATAGAGGCAGATAAAGACTGAGGAATTCTCGAACCTGCAAAATGCAAGACATATCAAATTTAACATCACATTTCTCAAGGTAAAACTATATAGGATTGATTGCTAGTTTCCAGTGTAACACATAAAAAAAAAAAATCTTAAGAAAATATCCAAATTAGTCAACATCAATTTGGCCTACCATCAAATGGTAATCAGTCTGTCATTCCAGCCCAGAGCAGCAAAAGAACACGCACAGTATATCACAGAGCATGCTGCTGGGAGGGGAGTTACTGCAAGGGGAAGCATCTGGAATTTTAAAAGTTCATTACATCTCTAGCAGAGGGACGGGGAACAATGTCAACTATAATGCAAACTTGAAGGGGACAAATGAAGCCACAGCTAACAAACCCAGGGCAATCATCTATGAAGAAAATGAAGGAATCCTCAAGCCATATTTACAGCATTTCAAAAGGTCACTAGGTGAATGTTAGGGGCTTTTTTGTGTGTCTGTCTTTTAGTTTTAGTTTTTCGCCTTCCTCTGAAGCACCAGGGATTGGAGGCAGGATGCAGGTTACAGGAACTGGTGGACCAATGGTCTGATTCAGTATGGCAAGTCCTATGTTCCTATAATAAAGGGGAAATTACAGCGTATCACTTTGTATGCACACAGATCCAGGGACACACGCGCTCTCTCTTTCTCTCTCAAGGTGTCTGAATTTTCATCAATAAAAAGTATTTGACAAATATAAAGTTTAACACCAAAGCCAAGAAAGTATGGAAAATTCAACAGCAGTGAACAGAATAACAATTAATAAGCAAAGATTAAATGTGATAAACTAATTATGCCTGGCACCTAACAGATGTTCAATACATTTAGCATCCTTCTCATACTCTCACTTATGCCAAGCAAGCAAGCAGAAAAATGTTGACAAAGTGAAAACAGAGAGCTGGTATGTCTAGTTCTATGTGTAACAAGGTAAGAAAATGAGACCTTAGCCATTTTTCCAAACTAGAAAACTGGAAGGATTAGAGGAAGAACAACAGAAAATTCTAGCAGTAATGCTCATGCATTTGTCCTATCATGCCCAGTAGAAACTTCTTTGAAGGCAGAGATCATTGCTTATTCATCTTTGCATCTACACCAAAAATACACAGACTATGTCTTGTCAATAGCAGGATTTCCATAAACATCCACTGATGAATGAAATAAATTCTTGTTCTAATGATGTTCCATAATGGAAACTTGAATTGCATTAAATGTCCTCAAAATGGAGTTAAATTAGGGTTTTCTTTTAAATGACAGTCTTGCAAAATATACCAGCAAGAAAAGTGTTTTATGTCAGGTGCTCTTTTAATCAAAACAGCTTCTTGTATTTTAAATTTAAAAACTCTCACAAGCTAATCCCAAGATGAGCAGCTCAGTAAATCCAACCACTCCTGTGGCAAAGCAAGTCGTTATGGACAGGATCTGTTAGCAGGAAGCTGAACTGCCGAAGAACAACTGCTAATAACCTCATTATCCACGGGGGCCACACAGACAGTATGGTGTTGAATCCACACAAAGGATGCAGAAAATTAGTTTAAGGATTTAAAAACTAAGGTTTAGAAAAAGAAATAGAACGAAAATACATAACATCTTATTAAGGACAAACCAAATAAAAGTGAGTTTTTCATGTATGTATGCATATACATATGTGTATATACATATTTATTCCTCTCCTTCTAAGCAAAGCTATTGTGAATGAGACATAACTTTTGAATCCTTCTTGGTGTAAACCAATATAGCTCGGTTTTGTTTTTTTTTAAACACAGCTTTATTTATCATCTCAAACAAGCTAAAAACACCTGGATCAAGGAAAAACATGTCTATATGATCTTTTTTTTTTCTCCCCATGTCTCAGGACCTAAAACTCACTTAACCAATCAATTTATTGATTTATTTTCTTCACATTCATGCTTCCTGAATGATTATAATGAACCTGTTATTTTTCCCCTTGAAAATATGGACCTTCTTTCTATTAATATTACACTAATAACCTCTCAGTGAACCACTGAAAACATTAAATAAGATGTGATAAACAGAGTTTACCTGACTTACCCATTATCCTACTGAGGGCAGCATTTCTTGTGGGTGATTCATCCAGCCCCTCTATCCCACTGTAGAGGGAATGGGAAATTCTCCGTTCTCTGTCATCCAGTACTGTTTCAATGGGCAGCTCAGGTCCAGGGGGGCTCCCAGGTGACTTGAGCTATAGAGAAAGGGGACAAGGAAGAATCAGTACTGGAGGTCCATCTAGCAGCATGGGGGAATTATAACAACTTGCCCAAGGCCTGTATCCAACTGGGTACCAAATGAACTAGAACTTTTCACCCTCTACCAAAATAATTTGTGATGACAGCTATGCCTAATGACCAACTTTCTGTGCCACTCTGCACTGTGCCTCCCATGAAGTTCTGTCAGATTTCAACCACTGGAGGAAAAATATGTATATTAAAAGCTTTTTTTTTTAAATCTTGTTGCTTATTTTTTTCAATTTGACTGTTAGTATATGCTGAAGTCAATTTAAGTTGTAGTTTAATTCAGTATTCTTTATGAGCTCTATACTCTGCACAGAGCATGCTTTATCAGAATGGAAGCTGGAATTGGCTATACTTTTCACAGAGTATGTAAATACACCAAAGAAATTAACACGAACTTTTGCATGCATTTGGTGAAATATTTCCTCCTCTACAAGACCTGAAGACACCATTTATCAGCGCAGTTATCTTGAACCATTCACTGAACCTAAATTTCTTCTGCTATAAATTAAGAATAATCATTCTATTCTCTTGTTGTGAATAATCGAGACCAGCACTTTAATAGCATACAGAACAACCTGAAAGTAAGGAGCAAATATTCTCCTGAAATCAAAGATATGAGTATTTCCACAACATATACTAACCTACTAAATAAGCAAAAGAATACAGGTTAATTTTTGTGATTATGAATTAAAATGGTATGTGGCAACTTTAAAACAGCACTGTCTTATAAGTCATATACTTCATGGAAACAATATGATTAAGGGATTTAAATTAAGGCCTTGAAGCAAATCTGCTTCAAGAGGAAACAAAGCACACTTAACTACAGTCCTCACAACACAGGCTCTGAGGTTAACCCAACAAACTAACACCTTACAACACATTGGTACTGGCATGGTGATGGAAGGGGGGCAGGGGCACAGCACAACACAGCAAAGTGGGAGAGAGACGGCTGTACATTCCAAACAGATGAAACCACAACTGTAGCTGTTCCTTCATTTGAACAAATTATTATTTCTGTTAGAAGCTACCATCTGTTTAATATAAATGAGACATTTAATGAAGTTCCGAATTGCAGACTTATCTCTCCCAGTTTGATAAGCACTGGGGAGATTTAATGCATTGAAGGGTCAACACAATTACAATTGGAGGCACGTCAAACTGCAAGAGAATAATAAACTTGTGGTGCCAGTGAATTAGACTCAATAAGGCTTAAATTGTGAAATGAGTATTTGTTTTATTAGCATTTTTTAAATTGCAGATTACAAATGACAGCTTTGCTGAAAAGTAAATTAAATACTCAAGGTCTCTGATGTAAAGAAATTAAAGAACATTTCTGAAGGAATACTATGTCTAAATTCCAAGGTACTTTGGGGAGCTGAAAACAAAACACAAATAGACAACAAAACTAATCCACCTTGTTTATTTAAGAACAAGTATGTTTGAATTTTTAAAATGAGCAGGTACATTAAACAGATGAGTGCCTGCTTGCTGTATAATAATTTATTTTATAAGAAGACAGCAATATATCCTCAAGTTTGCTTAACAAATGCATTTTGTTGAACTATGCAACTCTGCAATTTTCTGGATGATAAAACCATTATAAAGCTGCTTCATGAGAAGTCTCTAGATATCTAAAGAGACTATTTTTGAATTTCATAAGAGTCAAATGAAAATACCATTAAGAAAAAATAGTACTTGCAGGCTCTTCTAGACAAAAACAATAAGATGCCTATTTGGAAAGAACCATGTACTTGAACATTTTCTTGGGAAAGATTCTACACCTCCCTACCTCCCTCAAACCCATTGCCATCAAGTTGATTCTGACTCACAGTGACCCTAAAGGACAGAACAGAACTGACTCATAGGGCTTCCAAGGCTGTAAATCTTTATGGAAGCAGACTGTCACATCTTCGTCCCCCAGAGTGGCTGGTGGGTTCGAACCACTGACCTTTCAGTTAGCAGCTGAGTGCTGTAACCACTGCACCACCAGAGCTCTCCCCTAACTCTCTACTTGTGTCTAAATTGCATCTTAAAGGACAGATTTAAATGAAGACATCAATAGTCTACTACATAAATATTTAACAGAAGACACAATGTCTTTTAATTTATTTTTAATAAAAAAACTGAGGTACACAGTTTTGTTTTAAATCGCTTGATGAATTTTTCTGTAGAAAGAAAATGAGTTGGAGAAAGAGAAATGTGTCAGACTGGCATGATGGAAACATCAAGGGAAGGAAGGCAGAGCCATGTTCTCCTGGAGAGTAGGAAAGGCCTTTCTGCTCCAGGCTGCTCCCAGGCTTTCGCAGGCTCCGTATATTAAAATCTTATTAAAATTAATTAGAAGAAGAAATAAACTTAAACAAAAATAGCAATTTTCGCTTTGTCATTTGTTGGTTGTTTAAAACGCAAAAATTTTCTTCAATCCAACTTAAGTCAGTCCCACATAGCAGTAGTCGTGTTTGACCCTTCAGCTCTACCCCTAGGAAAGCCTTCTTACCCGTTAAAGAACAAAAATGGCTCTTTGTTACAGCAAAAGTGTGAGTCAAGTTTGCCCCGACTCATAGTGAACCCATGTATGTCACAGCAGAACTATGCTCCATTCATAGGGTTTTCAATAGCTGATTTTTCAGAAGTAGATCACCAGACCTTTCTTCTGAGGTGCTTATGGATGGACTGGAACTACCAATCTTTTGGTTAGCAGCTGAGTGAGTTAACCATTTGCACCACCCAGGGACTCCAAGGAAAAAATAAACTAATAATGGAGTCATGTGAGCCAATATTTATCATAACTTTACTTTCAGATGTATAAAAATTGGGGATAATCTCGATGTCTAAAAACAATGTAAGTACATTCAGCTTTTTAAACACATACATTCAAATAACCATATCTCATTTTTATAATCAGAAAATAAGAGGTGGGGCCATAATGGCAGAGTAGTCAGACAATTCCGGTGGTCCCTCTTACAACAAAGACCCAAAAAAACAAGTGAATCGATTATATATGACAATCTAGGAGCCCTGAACAGCAAAGATAAAGTTGAGGAATCAGACTGAATGGCACGGGAAAGGAGAGATGCTTCAGAAGCAGTGAGAAGTTGCCAGATCTGACCTGGCAGGAGCCAGCACCCTGTGGGCCGGATCGGCTAGCATGTGCACTGAGGCAGACAGTGGCATTTGGGATGCTTTTCCACATCGGGAGAGACTGAGCAGCGGAGGGTCTACTCAGGCCTCCAAAGCCAGTGAAAAGTGGCACTCAGTTGGCAAAAGACAAGTACATGTGCTTAACCTACCTCGCAGATCAAAAAAAACACCCCATTTGGAAAGAACATCTCTCCCATTTACTTGCTCCTTCCCCACTCTGCACCAGGTCCCAGGCCAACTTCAGCGACTGCTGCTTCCCCTGGGCTGGAAGTAGGACCCTTCACACACCCTGAGCCATTCTCCTGGACTTGGAGAAGGAAAAAATTAACAAACAGGAAGAAATAATCTGCTGGCTCCCTTAAGCAGGGAATTCAAGGCAGGCACAGCTCCTTTGCCTAGGCACAGGCATAAGGGGTCCACAGGCTTTGAATGCCTTTCAGAGACCTGTGTGGGCTCACTTCAACAGCATAGGCCCTCATTAGCACACTATAACAGGGTATACAACTGAAGCCTAACTTCACTATATCAGCTATATGGTGAGGTGGCAGGCTCCTAACATTTGCCACCACTCTGCTCATTATGCAGGGTCCTCACCGACCCACATCAGGGGCCTCAGGACTGGTGGTTCCACCCATGCTACCTAGCCATATGTGACAGGAGTCCAAGAATACGTGATGCCTCCCAGTCCTTACAGCCAACAGCACTGGGTGCCCACAGCCCAGCTGCAAAACCCACACACCTATGCGCTCTAGGAAACAGGGAAATGCTTTCCTCCCAGACATTCAGGGGCAGCCGTAAGCCCACTGTCTTGCTCAGCACGTGACCCCCTACTACAGCCAGATACCTGTGCCTACTCCAACCACCCCTGCCCATCTAGGACTGTAGGTGAGAGGCTGCACCACACATTTTGTGATCGACTATCTGGACACATGAGCTGAATCCATATGAGAAAAGTAAACGGACTCTTGGGCTCACATACCTACTAACAGATCTAACCACATGGTGACAGAACGTTAGAGCTTCAAAGGCACCAAATAATCAAACTAGCTCACACAAGCAGCCTATCTGAGCATATCAAAACATAACAAAACAGGAACCTAGGACACAGTAAGCAAACATAAAATAAATAAATATAATAACTTATTGATGGCTCAGAGATAACAGACAATATCAAATCACATGAAAAGGCAGACCATGATGGCTTCAGCAAGTTCCTGAAACAAAGAATCAAGAAATCTTCAGGAGGAAGAGAACTTCCTGGGATTACTGGAGGTACAATAAAAAATATTAATATACAGAACTCTTCAAGAGATCAGGAATAAGATTAGTCAAAATGCAGAACAAGCCAAGAAACACACAGACAAAGCAACAGAGGAACTTAAGAAGATTATTGAAGAGCACAGTGACAAATTTAACAGGCAGCAAGAATCCATACAGAGACTGCAATCAGAAATCCAGAAGATTCACAATAAAATTTCAGAATTAGACAACTCAATAAAAAGTTATAGGAGCAGAATTGAGGCAACAGAAGTTAAAATTAGTAAGACTGAAGATAAAGCACTTGACATCAACTTATATGAGGAAAAATCAGATAAAAGAACTTAAAAAAATGAAGAAACACTAAGAATTATGTGGGACTCTATCAAGAGAAATAACCTATGCGTGATTGGAGTACCAGAACGTGGGGATAACAGAAAACACAGAGAGAATTATTGAAGATCTGTTGGCAGAAAACTTCCCTGATGTTGTGAAAGGTAAAAAGACATCTATTCAAGATGCTCATCGAACCCTACACAAGGTAGATTCA